GGAAAAAAAAAAAAAAAAAAAAAGGGCGGGAGCTCAGATGTAACTCAGTGTGAAGGCCTGAGTTCAATCCTACCACAAATGAATACACACATATATACCTTTTTTTTTAGTATTTCATCTGCTAATCCACCCATCCCTGAAAACACTGTTGGACAACACATGGTTTATTGAATATGAAGAAACATAATTGTCATTATTTACAAAAGACTCTAACGTGAAAAATCAAAGAAATTCAAAGACCAATGGCTGCAGAATATGAGTATCTGAAGTCTATCATGTGCCTGTATGCCTGTAAGTGGTTAGAAACTAATTTTTAAAGCTCTACAAAGTAGTGGGGTAGCCTGACCCACACCTATAATCCCAGCTACTCAAGAGGCTAAGGCAGGAAGATCATAAGATCAAGACCAGCCTAAGAAACTTCGTGAGATCCTGTCTAAAACAACGACGACAACAATAAATAGGCTGAGGGATGCAGCTCAGTGGTATAGCATTTGCCTAGTACGCATGAGGTGCTGGGTTCGATGCCCAGTAAAATCAGAAAACAAAACCAAACAAAACCCTGCAAAAGTATTTAAGGCACCCAGGAATGTATCAAAGAAAAGATGTGTAAAATATGTTAAAAATTATAAAACTCTTTGACTAATAAAATGGATAAGAAAATCTGACATTTTAAAAATGGGAATTCTCCCCCAATCTAATATCACACATTAAATATTAAGTACATCACACAAAATCTCCACTGAGCTCTTTGAAGAGCTTGTAAGCTGATTCCAACACGTATATGCAAGAACAAACGCCAGCATCAACCAAGAAGACTGTGGATAATGTGAAGAGACTTGCTCTGCCAGTTACCAAGACTTACTAGAAGCTAATGTGATTAAGGTGCCTGGTATCTGGATAAACATTCTGTGGATCAGAATGAAGAGTACCTCCTAGCATCAAGTCAGCTGTACTACAATGCCCCTAACAATCCAATCGTCTTTCAAACACATGAGACTTTGTGGGCCATGTTAGATCCAAATCAAAACTGTGCTCAAGGTCAGCAGATGTGTCTGTATTCAAAGCCAAACTGGAATTATGAGGGTAGTGAACATTGAGGACACATTTCAAACATCAGCAGTGATTCTGAAAGAGACTGAACCAGTCTTCTTTCTCCCAGCTAGTGAATGATTATCTCAGTTTTGAAAAGAGCCAGCCAGGGAGGGACTATAACCAGGAGCCAAAATAAACCTCTCCTTTTTTGTTTTATTTTTTGAGACCAGGTCTCACTATGTAGTTGAGACTGACCTGGAGCTCACAAGCCCATGCTGGTCTTGAACTCACAGTGAGCCTCCTGCCTCAGCCTCTCCAGTGCTGGGATTATAGGTGTGTGGCACCACGCCCAGCTAAACCTCTCCTTTTTAAAATTACAAGTATCGGGTATTATGTCCCAGAGATGAGGAAAGTGACTAAGACAAGAATCTAGATGAATCCAAGTTTGATGGTTCCTTCTCATTGAACCAAATGTGTTCAGACAGAAAAAGGTCCTACCTAGCATCTATGAAGAGGGATGGGGAGCCACTGACCCCTGTGCAACATTTTAAAAAGCCTATTTGAAATCATAAATTAAACTCACAATAAAACCACTCTGCTTAAAACATTGTGGTGCTTTGCTTTTAGCCAGAATTACAGGAACTCCGTGCTTTGGTGTTGGTGATGGTATGAAAGGCAAAACTTCTGAGTGAATGATCATTATATATTTGATTAGGAAGAAAGGCAAACTAAATTAGCATTTTATAAACATTTTATAACAAATGAATACAAATCTTTTAAAAAAGGAATTAGAATAATCAAACTTTTAAAATGTTCAAGTGAAAAAAAGGCTGCAAGAACTTAAAAACAGAGACTGCTACTGTCTTAATAGTAACGCCTGGTCCATTCACTGGGCCCTTCCTGTGTGGTTTACACGAATGTTCACCTAACCCCACAACCAAATGAAGGTACCACGGCAGATGAGGAACCAAGCTCCTCCAAGGTGCTCTGCCGAGAAGTGGCATGGCCAGGAGCCAAACCCAGGGTGGTTAACTCTGAAGCCCTACTGTACAGCTAACAGTAAAACTCCAGGAACTGAGCGCGGCTCTGTGGGCTTCCTACTGCCCCGCGCTTTCTAGTAATTCCAAAGAGAGAATAACTTGGTCTCAAGGATCAAGCTACCAAAATCAAAGCCAGAACACAGTTGAAATTCAACCTTGCAATGTTCTTTACCGTAAACTGGGCTGGAGCTTTCTGAGCCACTTAAGACTTGACTTTATCATAGCAGTGAAAGCACCACCGGGGTGGTTCCTGTTATGCAACTTTTTTTAAATTAGAAATTTACTGTTTAATCCACAAACTTCATGCAGCTTTAAAAGAAAAAAATAGTGAAACCAAGACACTACTTCAAAGTCTAGGCCCTTTCAGCCTTCAAAACACAGTAATTCTCTGAATGTTATATATTCCACTTGGAAATAAGACAAAAATATGAATGGAGGCTCTGTCACAGAACTTTAGTAGCAGAAAGAAACAAACAATTCCATTGCCACTACCTCAGTACATTTCTGTTTTGTGGTTGTGTGTATGTGTACTGTGCTGGGGACCCAGCACCTCACAAACGCTAGGCAAGCACTCGATCACCGAGTATTAAACTAATAAAAAACAACCGGATGTGTACATATGCAATTTTTTTTGAGACAGTTTCTAGCTGTATAGTTTAGACTGTCCTTGAACTCCCTATGTAGCCCAGGATGGCCTCAGACTTGCAGTGATCCTCCTGCCTCAGCTTCCCGAATGCTGAGGTTACAGGAATGTGCCACCACAACCAGCTGGATATTTATGAAACACAAATATGAAAATAACCCAGCCTAGCAATTAGAAACATCCTTTGGTTCTCAGGGGGTAAGCAAGTTGAAAGGAATTTTTGAAAGGTAGATATCAGAAAAAATTGGCTAAGTATAGTGGTAGACTTTGGTGGACTACATCATGAGGGACAAAAAGCCTCACTAAATTAAAGTGGCCAAAGTTAGTGGAGGAAGACATCTGTGTGAAACCTGTTTCCATTCTCCTGAGTATAGCCAGTTTAAAGTTGTCGATTTACTAAGTACTGGAATTCATCCTGTAATATGCAAGTCGGCTACACATAAATCTATTATACACATAAATCTTTTCAAATTTGCATTAGAAAGGCATCAATTACCTCATGCTACAATGCGTAATTAAGAAGTGTGTTATTTTGCTTAATCTTACAAGATAAATATTATATTACCTCAAGTACAAAAATTGTTAATTTTAACATTTCAATGTTGAGTACCAGAAAGTCTATGGCAATCTAAGCTACATTTGTTACACAGTGACAACCTAGAGATCACACAGCAAGGTGACCAGTAATTATACTTTGAAGTTAAAAACAAAAGTCACCAATATGTGGGATGGCACTAGACATAGCTTGGAAAGAATGAGTTTCACACAGACAGAACAAAATCTTAAGATCTGCAAGTGACTAGTCCGCAAGGAACTCAGAAACCGTGTGGGATGTTTCTCCAAAGAAGAAAAAGAAGACTTTATTCATCTGGCAAATAGTTGACTACCTATTATATACTAAAGATAGCACTAGAGTTTGGGAATCCTAGTGGTTGAAAATAGAGAAGAAAAAGAAGAGATAAAGGAAAATTTCAGAGAAAGTGGAGCATTGCTATCACATTTGAGGGAAGAGAATAAAACCCGGGGAAGACAAAGATAAGCAAGACTGGCTCTTTTCTGAGAAGCAAAAGGTAGACGGAGGAAGGGCGGGGGCATGGCTGTAATCCCTGCACTCGGGAGGCTGAGGCAGGAGGATTGCTCTGAGTTCAAGACCAGACTGTGCTTCATAGTGAGTTCCAGGTCAGTCTCAACTACATAGTGAGACCCTGTCTTTAAAAAAAA